TCTCTCTCTCTCTCTCTCTCTCTCTCTCTCTCTCTCTCTCTTCTTTCTTTCTTGCGTCTATATCTCTTCCACTCCCTCATTCCGACGGATGCGTTTGAAAAGAATGGTCTGGTTTGTATTTGTTAAGTTGTGTTGTCCAGTGTTATATCGAGTCATGTACGGGGGAAACGCAGAATCCGATGTACAGTAATAAATAACAATGTATGTTGCCACGTACATATAGCCACTCTTTGGTAGGCGCCCGCTGGCAACAACTATGGAAGTAGTGAGGGTTTGTCTCTCTCTCTCTCTCTCTCTCTCTCTCTCTCTCTCTCTGTATTTCTCTGTATGTACATATATTTCCAGATGTCAAGATTGGTCAAAACCGGAGAGAAGAGAAATTCAGGTGAAGAGTGTGATGCAACGGCGGATCACTTTCTACTACTGGGGGCCAAGGAAGAGAAGACGACTGGGATGGACGGGAATTGGGGTCTGATAGTAGAGAAGCAGCGATAACATTTAGACAGGCTAACAAACGAGGTACATAAGCAGAAACAATTGGTGAGACAGATTTCAGACGAACTAGGCCGTGTTAAGTCACTGCTCGTAGAAATGACAGAAACTGTGGAACACATGATGTTCACCGTGTTCTGGTTGTTACTATCCGATCCAAAGTCTTTAGACATAACTCGTTTGAGGGAGGACATGACTGCCAGACTGAAGGCAATAGCTGAAACGAAGACCACCACGTTTGACGAGTTCCAGACATGGTGGGATGGTGAAAGGTGCAGGCGCACCGCGGTCTTGAATCGGTTCGCCGCCCACGTCACAAAGAGAACTCACAGGGAATCATAAGGACTTAATGTCGCATCTTGTGTCATCCCTGAGAAGTGTGTGCTGAAGGAGGGGTGGGCATCATATGATAGCCAAGAATATAATACGGGTTCGCTAACTGGTTCGTCACGCAGTGTCGTCGACCTCTTGGCCTTCGCAACAGACTGTATTCGCTATTGTAAGGAAACCGTAGACGAGTACGGTCTCTGTGATGAGGGTGTCGCGACTGCTAGGGATGACCTTCCTCGCAATATGACGTCTCTGTTGAACAGTTGCTCGGACGTCATTGATGCCCTGCAGCACACACGAGGTAGGTTATTGGCTGGAGAAATGACGGTGACTTGTGTGAACGAAGTTGTAATGGGAAGTGCAGAAGGTGAAAGGACAAAGGCAGGTGAAGAAATCGACACAACAATCCAAACCTCCAGAGGAATTGGGACCATTGTCGGGGACTGCGCGCCTGCGCCGCATGCCCTGCTGGTGTGCACCGATGTTGCCGCACTAAATTGTCACCACGTTCGTCACAACTTCCCATGTGTCGTCGCTAGCAAAGCACCTTGTGCTGATACAGAATCTGTTGCGCTGCCTATGACGACGGACACATTTCAAAAGTTTGTTGCAAAAGCGAATTCACAACAAATGGCGAGGCAGGTTGCGGACTTTCTATTCCATCTCATATCGTACATCAAAGAGATAATGGTACAGGTCGTAACGAACGCAGGCCAGCATGGAGGGAATAACGAATGTCAGCATTGCAGGCAGGGTTGTCACGCGGGGATCCCCGGGGCCCAAGCCGAGGTACGGGTTTCACCCCCGGACCTCCGCCGCGGGGCTACCCGACCCCCGCCCCCGCACCCCGCACCCCCGC